TCATCTTGGCCCTGAAGGATTTTTTTTTTTTTGCTTCATTTTTCTCCACATGTCATGCAGCTATATTTTATATTGCTGCTTCTGTTGTCATGCATGTACTGGCAAACAGACTATTCTTTCATTGCTGTGTTGAGAAGCAGGCTTATACTTCATTTCTTTCTAAACAATAGTTTTAGTCACTTGCAAAAAAAGATGCTTATAGCTGAAATTTTATTTCACATCAAAAAATACTGTTTTTTCTGAAGTTACAAATCTTTTTGAAATTTCAGGAATTTCAGTAGAATTGAAATCTAACTCTAAAATCAGTTTCATAAACTGTAATTTTATTAATGTAATTTTAATTACAAAAAGTAAATTCACAAAGGAACCATACTTACTTTCTCCATATTGGGTCTCATCAGTATAAATCATCATTTGTTGGTTAAATATGGCAGAGAGCATTGCTCAACTAAACTGTGTTTTGCCAAGTGTGAAATCAGATTATATGTTGTGTGTTAGTTTTAAGCCATTTTGAAAAAAGTTTCATAATCTATTTTTATATTATCTATTATATAAAATACATTATATGAAATTTTTTTAATACACCGCTGCTCTGCTAGATTGGTATTTGGAATATGTTTTCTGCACAACCATTTATAGCAGCAATTCCTTTCAAGTTATGGCTTTTAATAAACAATGCATCTGTCAGATGTCTTAGATTTTAAATAGTCATATCTGTTTCATGTAACTGAGCAGTGAATGGAGATAAGTAATGTAGGAAGTGGAGACCTATTCTTCTGATTGGGAATTAGATTTAAAAGTACAGCTTTGATTAAGATATATGATTCCTTAAAAGAAAATACTTCCATAACAAGATATCTCAAGATATCAGTCTGCTGGTTTTGCTTTTTTGTGTGAGATAGACTTGCTGATTTAATCATGCATGCAGAATATTTTCTCTATAGAAATTCTGATGATGAAGAAGCAATAGTTTAGACAAGATACATGCATCAAAGGAGAGAGCAAAGATACTTACAGAGCTTCTTTCATGTTCATTTTCTGGTGGCATCCTACTGAAAAAAATGCATTTCTGATTATGGTGCTGTCAACCTTATGAGTTATGTTCACTGAACTTGTTTCTTCCTATGATATCTTTGCTGCATGTTATCTGAGCAGTAGGAGCTGAGAGAGATCTTGTATTAGCCTTGAATTTCTTACTTGCATAGAGCTGATTTCAGCCAGACATTTCTTTGCCTCTAAAACAATATTCACCTAGATAGTAATGCAAATACTTAGCATTGTTCAAATTTTTCTTTTTGTCATATTTGGGAAGCTGAAGTTCACATACTCTAAAATCAGCTTCATCTTTAGACATAACTCTGCAATCATTTCAGTGCAAAAAGAGGTTTTCATTACTAACATGTTTCATCCAGGGAAAAATTAAAAATTTAGTGCTACCAATGTACCATATTCATACAGCTTTGTATATTGGTGGATCATTGTTCTGATTGCATGGTGGCACTTTTCATGTATAAAATGTGCACAGTTGTCTTCAGTTTTTTTCTTCTCATAGAATCTACTGATGGATGTTTATATTCCAAGCAGACTCTTCCTGTAAGTACAACTTAAAAAAAAAAAAAAAGCCCACAGTGTTTTGGTAGTTGTGTACACAGAATGTTTACTTAGACTGCTTTTCCTCAGTTTATTGGCGGATAAACATACTTTGTTCTCAGAAATGAGAAACCAAAATCCTTCAAAATAATTTCAGTTATTCAACTTATTTATCTTAATATTTATGAGCATCTTGATTTATATAAACTATATGTCATCATAATTTATAACTTGTAACATGGAATACACTGTGTGAGTGCTTTTAAGTCTCTGATGATTCTAAAAATGGATGGGATTGTGCTTAGAGGGAATGTAGAACAGCATTTGTGTGAATCGACACAGAACTGCATTGTTCTTGCCCTGAAGACTTTGGACTCTGTCCCCAAACCTGCTGTTGGATCCATTACAGACCCATCTGACTTGATTCCTCTTAAGAGCAGAAGGGTCTAAAATAAATAAACATAAATAAAATAAATAAACAGGATGGCATATTAGTATACAATGGCAATAAGTGAATAGGTGATGTACAAATAAAGTCTTTGTGAAGGTGGCCTCCTGTACCAAGAGCTCTGTTTATCTTTTTACAAGTATGAGAATATTACTAGGAAACAAAAAAAAAGGGGGGGGGGAGTATACAATGGCAAGACCATGAAAATCAACTTTTCTAAAGTTTTTGTTGTTGTTATTTGTCCTGGTTTCAGCTGGGATAGAGTTAATTTTCTTCCTGATAGCTGGTATAGTGCTGTGTTTTGGATTTGGGATGTATAATATTTGTATTTAAAACATCTGTACAGTTACTTAACGTATGGACTGCAACCGTTTCAGCCTTGGTCAGTGTGGAAAAGCAGCTTTTCAGCTGCTGGTCGATACATTCCAGTATGAATACCAGCTGCCAAATAACAAAACTTTTTGATAGAGTATGGGAGGAAACATTTCATTTTGAGTAAGCTATCTACACTGACCAATGATGAAAGGAACCCTTTTATATATACAGAGTGCTCAGAACACCTGGAATCCAAAGTACTACTTCTGTACGATGATTTTTAGCATTTTTAAGGATTTTACTGTGCAGCGTGTGAGAACTTAAAGCTGCTATGGCTGAGGTGATCTTGATGACACAGACTGTTGAAATCTTTCAGATGTCCAAAGTTAACCTGAACGTGTCTGACTCCCCTCTCACTGCAAAGTAACTGGACATAGAGTCTTCTGTACTGTACAGGAAGATATTATATGCTATATAGACTAAGTAGGCTGCCCATATAGAGGTGAAAACATCAGTTGCAGTAACATGTAGGATCAGAAAAATGTTGATGGGAAGGAACCTCTGGAGATTGAGCGCCTCAATTTTCTGCTTTAACTTCAAAGTTAAATCAGGTTGCTTAGGGCCTTGCAGAATCAAGTTTTTAAGTTCTCCAAGGTTGCTTGGAGATGCTGTTACATCTCCATCCTGTTGCAGTGCTCAGCCACCCTCATGGTGAGGAGTTCTGTTACACTTGTTTGGAATTTCCTTTGCAGCATCGTGTGACTGTTGCCTGTTCACTTGCCTGAGAAGAATCTGCCTCCACCCTTTGTATAACTCCCTGTTACATAGGTAAAGGCAGTAGTGGGCTCCCTTTCTTCTCCAGACTGAACAAACCCAACTCCCTCATCATGTGTTTCATCTCATGTGTTGGCCCTTTCACTATTTTAATGATCTTCCTCTGGACATGCTCCAGCGTGCCAGTACCTCCTGTGCTGCATGGCCCAAAACTGTACAGTACTCTAAATGTGGCTTCACCAGTATCATGCAGACGGGAATAATTACTTCCTTTGACCTGTTGTTTATGCTCTTGCTTATGCAGCTTGAGCTACAGTTAGTTTTCATTACTCTATGGGTACACTGCTGGCTTATGTTCAACTTGCTATCTGCTAGAGTATCCAAGTTCTTTTCTACAGAGCTGTTGCCTGTTCAGTCTGCAGCTGTAATAGTGTATAGGGTTTTTTCATTCCCAAATGCAGGACACTTTACAGTCTTTGTTTAACTTTATAAAGTTCCTGTTGGCCATTTACTCCAGTTTGTTGAGGTCCCTCTGAATGGTGGGCCTGCCCTCCAACATGTTGACTGCTTTTGCCATTTTATGTTATCTGTAAATTTGCTGAGGATGCTTTCTGTCATAGCATCCAAATCTGATGAAGTTGTTACCCAGTATTGACTGCTGAGGAATACTGCATCTAACCACTTGGCAGTTAGACTTACAATTATTGACCACAACTCTTTGAACCTCAGGTCCAAGGAATTTTTTGTCTACCTTGTTGTCCACCTATTCGGTCCACATCTCCTCAGTTTGACAACCAGGATGCTATGCAAGATAGTGTTAAAAGCCTTGCTTAAGTCAAAGCACCTGTCATCCACTGATTCTCTCTGGTCCTCAGAGCCACTTATTTCTTCAGAAGGCAGTCAGGTTAGTTGTACACAGTTTGCTTTTAGAGGTATGTTGCCTGATCCCAGTCATCCCAGTCGCATTGATGTCCATCATGCCTGGAAATAGCTTCCCTTTAGGACTCACTCTGTTTTGTATGAGGTGAGACTGACTGCTGTCTAGTTCCCTGGATCCTCTACTCCTGCCTCCACCTTGATTTTCTGTTGAGTTTTGTTTGTTTGTTTGAAGTTACCCGTTTCCTGTCATAGTCAATCACCACAACTTTTCAAAGATGATAGCCAGCAGCCTTCCAGTGACATTAGCTAGCTTTCTCAGTACCTTGGATATGTAGGTCCAGCTTACCTAAATAGCCTTTTAACTTGATAGCTCATCTCCCTCAAGCTTTGTTGTGAGATGCAGAAGCCTGATAGCAGACATCACTGGTAAAGACCATGCCCAGGATGTTGGGTACCTCGACGACTTCTGTACCTTTCACCACTAGGTTGCTTCATGATTTAGCAGCTGAATTACGTATGGTATTTTTATTTTATTTTGAAATGGAATTCTATTAGTTTTGAATTATTATTTTAGTGCCAATCACAAATACTAATTCAGCTTATGTCCGCGGTGCAGCTGATGAGGTAAAATAACCTGGTTTTATATAGCATGGATACTTTGGTATCCATAATATTTATTCACAACTAATGAATTTGCAAGTAATCTGGATGATTTTTATTTTTGTTCCCTCTAAGATTTCTAGTTTCTAATTACCCTGAGGAAATAATGTGTAGCTACATTTAAACATTGCTTCAGATTGCACTGTATGGTTGTCTGACATTCAGGCCATGCAAATAATGCTTGAATGTATATATGTGCCAGAAAGAACTCCTCATCCTCTTCTCTTTTTTTTTTTTTGAGTGACTAATAAGAGAAGATTGTGCCCGTTCATCATTATGGTCTTTTGTTTCTTAGTAATTGGTGACAGTGTGCTTCTTAATCTGTTTTAGTTGGAAGATGGGGAAGAAGAGCAGAGTGAAAACTCAGAAGTCAGGTACAGGAGCCACGGCGACAGTATCTCCAAAGGAAATGTTGAATCTAATTAGTGAATTATTGCAAAGTAAGTTTTGGTTTTATGCCTCTCTGGGAAAAGGGATGGTGTGCAGACCACTCCAAAATGTTCTCTTGTTGAAACCTGTGAATTCTAATAATTTTTTTAAGTGGCCAAGCTTGCCATTATAGCCTGCTTACGATAGTATACTATGTATCTCATAGTATCTATCTCTGTTAATATATACCATTATTGACTTGTTTAAATGGTATGTATCGGACATACCATATTTCTGGTAGCTTTTGGCTTTCCATCTCAACACAAGCATAAATACTGGGCAAGATTAGATAAAAAAAATTACTCTAGATAACTTGACATTGAAGCTTTGTCAAAAACGTTTTTCTTGTAAACCTCAGGAATTGCACTGTTTCTATTTATCATTTGAACACTATTTTGAACTGTTATCAGAGTAGAGGAATTCACTGTGGAAAGCAGCAACAACTCAGTTCAACTGCACTGATATTTTTGTCCCTTAAATAAAATTTGTTGTTGTTGTTTGGAAACTTTTTGTACTGCTTAGTTCATGTGTATAGACCAAAGGTTGTTTCACTTGTTGAGGAACTTGCAAGTCATCCATTATTCCTAGTAAATGTGAAAAGCAGAGCATAATTTCATATGATGATACTAAAATACTGTTCACTCTTTCTACTGTCACTAGTAACTGTGCTGAGCTACACTTTTTGTTGAAACACAAGTGCAAATTTTCATATCCTGCACACATCTAAATGTTGCCTTAGAAAAATTCAAATTTTTCTTTAGTATTGCTCACAAAGAGGAGACAAGGAGTTGTCAGAGCAGTTGGATGCTTGTGCTACAATTGGCCTCTGCTTTGCTACCAAAAATAAAATGTAGATCTAATTTTCTAAGCAAAGACAAGTATCGGCTGTTCTTTTTGTCAAGCTTCCATATTTTATTCAAAGCAAAGATTTTTCAGATGAGTTGAGCAAGGTAATCTTCAGCTGTCCACTTGGATTTATGCGGCTTAGATCAAGAAATCCTGACACTGGCATTTAGAATATTGACAGAGACGTTGTAGATATAATCTAAAGCTAAAGCTTGGCTAAGTGTTCCTTTGCTTGTCCTTCCAGTACACATGCATCTATGAAAACAATATTGACTAGGCAGGCCAAATGTATGTACCAGCAAATTTCTCAATTACCTAAGGTAAGGTCCATGCTATTACCATCTGCTTTCATTACTGCAAGAATGATGGCAAGGAGGCTAATGTAAACAGGGTGTTTTGCTTGGGTTATTGAAAACAGAGACTTTTGTTTGTTTTTCTTATCTGAGAGACTATCTACTTAATGGTCTGGTGGTTTACCTTTTTCTTTCTAGCTTTTTAAACTTTCGATATCTCTTAAATCTGAAAGAATATTAAAAATAAAATAACTTGAGGCAAGTTATCCTGTGAAAATTTTAAAAATATCTATTAATTACATGTCAAAGAAAGGAATGTTTATAGCAATGGAGATTATAGTGTTTACCAAGTAAACGTTGAAGGACAGTAATACTAGGGTTCAGTTAAAGCTGCTGTGAAACCATGACTTTTTCTCTGATGTTAAAATAGAGAGAGATATATACTTTATTAAAGAAAACATTTTCATTTGGCATTTTTATTTCCAGAATGCAGCAGTCCTACCCCGGGTCCTGGTAAGGAATGGGAAGAATACGTACAGATTCGTTCACTTGTTGAGAAAATTCGCAAAAAGCAAAAAGGTAAATGTGAAAGAATGTAAGATAAGGGTGGCTCAGAGTAATGGTTTGCTTAAAGAATTTTCTGTTGGCAGCTAAAAGGAATATTTTGTGGTCTTAGTATATAAATATTATTTTTATAATATTATTAGTATATTATTATAAAATATTAAATATAATGATAATATATTGTTTATAATATATAAAATATTAGTATGTTAACTACTGATTTGATTGGTTCTGGGGCTTGAAATGTATTATTGAGGGGGGAATATTCCAAATACACTTTCAATGAACACTTTCCAATGCTACTTTCTCAAAATCCTTTTGATCTAAAGATGTATTTATCACCAGTGCTTAACAAAAATATCTTTGGATGTAAGCAACTTTCTGATGACGTTTTATCACTCATAAATGAGTGACATTTGGCCTGAGCATTTCAGGGGCATTTGGACACTTAACGTGATCTGACCCAAGAGTTTGAGTTGAAGAGAACACGGGGCAGAGAAGTACGAAAGGAGCTGGCTAAGTGTATCCAGGAACTGTAATGCATAGGTTCAAATCAGATGACGTTAAGGGGCAAAGCTGAGGAAATGAATGAGGCTTGTGATTCACCAGTGGACCACATGCCTGTTGAAGAAGCAAAGTGTAAAAATTTGGACGAGCTCTGTGATGTCAGGAGGATGATCACTCCTTAATTATTTTAGTGGATCCATATTGTACAGGAAAAAGCTAACTGCCTTTTATATGAGAAAAGGAGCTTGAGATCTGCTTATCATCATTTCCAGTGCTGAATTAATGAAATTGCAGCTTGCCTCTCAAATTCCTCCTTGCATCTGTATTAACATGCTGTGGTGATTGCATCTATCCTCAATATTAAGCTAAGAAATATTTTTGCTTTGCTTATTTAAAAGGGAAAAGAGGGAGGGGAGCTTCACATTGCATCACAGCTCACTTTAGGTGGTTGTGTTTTTAGGATGACTGGTAAGCCAATTTGGCAGAATATTTAAGTTGATGAAAATTGTGTGTGACACTTGTATTCTGTTGAGTAACACTTAAAGACCAGTTCTCTCGCAGCTATTTCAAAGTAGAACTGCTGTGGGATAGCAGATAGCTTTTTACATGTGCTTTTTATTGAACTTCTTTATCTTTCTAGATCCTCTTATTTCTGCATTTGTTTTTTAATAAATTGTGTATATAGGTTTGTCTGTTGTCTTTGATGGAAAAAGAGATGACTATTTCCCTGAATTGATAAAGTGGGCAACTGAAAATGGAGCATCCACAGAGGGTTTTGAAATAGCTAACTTTCAAGAGGAGGGCTTTGGTTTGAAAGCAACAAGAGAGATAAAGGTGAGAATGAACATTTGACTTACATTCCAAACACGATTTTCTAATCTAACTGCAGAGTTCTGAAACGCTCTTCCCTTTCCCCTTTTGACTGATTATGAAACTGCTGTTCTGAAATGCCCTCAACTCTGCTTACTTGAAAAATAAAATTATTGATAAAATTAAGTCTTATTTTTTATGACTATTAGATACTACCATGAATTTTTAATCAGTCTTTTTTCCTTTTCCTCTTTGTTGCCTATACTGTTTACCTACTCACCAGGGTATTCTACCCCATTGATGCATCCCGCTATTCCATTTTTTAT